GCTGATTGAATCAACCCAAACTTAGAGAGCTTTTTGCACAATTCATTATTCCATTCCCTAGAAGCTTGCTTGAGCCCATATAGACTTCTAAACAACTTGCACACTTGCCCCTTTGCTGCTTTAGAGTATCCTTGTGGAGGTGTCATAAAAACTTCTTCATTGATATAGCCATGTAAAAAGGCATTGTTTACATCAAGTTGGTGCAAAGGCCATCCATGCACAGTAGCCAGTGCAATGAATATTCTAACTGTGACTAACTTGGCCACTGGTGAGAAAATGTCAAAGTAATCTACTCCAGCCACTTGGTTATATCCCTTAGCAACCAACCTTGCTTTAAACCTCTCCACAGATCCATCACTCTTTCTCTTTATTTTGTAGACCCATTTTGAGCCTATAGGTTTTTTTCCTGGTGGGAGATCTGTGAGTTCCCAAGTACAATTTTCCTCAAGAGCCTCTAGTTCCTTTTGCATAGCATCAACCCATGCAGGATGTTTGCAAGCCTGAAGATAATGAGTTGGTTCCTTGTCAATGTTCACATTTGCAATGAAGGTAAGAAAGTGTTCTGTGGTTGTTGGAGTTAGTGCTTGATTGCAAACATAATCTGCTAGCCACTTAGGTGGTTGTCTGACCCTCTCACTTCTCCTCAAGTCTAGAGGCTGTGTGTCTTCATCAAAATTCTCTGGTGTTGAGCCAAGTGACTCCATCTCTGATGGCTCAGTGTCTTCTTCAACTATTGGGAAAGGCAGTACATCCTCTTCACTTGGGTAATCCTTAGCATAAGGAAATGTTTGCTCAAGGAAGATGACATCCCTTGAGATAAACAATGTCTTGGACTCTAAATCATAGAGTTGAAATCCTTTCTTTCCATTGACATACCCAAGAAAAATACATTGCAGTCCTCTCTTGTCAAACTTTCCTTTCTGTGGATCTATATTAGCTGCATAGGCCAGGCATCCAAAAGTTTTCAAACTGTGATAGTCTGGTGCTTTGTTGTACATTTTCTCAAAAGGTGTCTTCCACCCCAGCACAGAACTAGGCATCCTATTAATGATATAGGCAGCTGCCAATATTGAAAAGGGCCAGAACTTCAAAGGAAGATGACTTTGAAACATTAAAGCTCTTTCAATATTCAGCAGATGTCTGTGTTTTCTTTCTACCACTCCATTTTGCTGTGGAGTGTAGGTGCAGCTTGTTTCATGAATAATGCCTGCCTCACTGAAAAATTGTTGAAGTTCTTTACTTAAGAATTCTTGGCCATTATCACTTCTAACTCTCTTAACTTTGCATTCAAACTGAGTTGCAGCCATAGTAATGAACTTCCTTATTAATCCAACAGCTTGTGATTTGTTGCTCATCAGGAACACCCAAGTACCTCTTGTGTAGTCATCCACCAAAGTTAGGAAGTAAGGAGTATTTGTTAGATTTTTACCATGGCAGGGCCCCCAAATGTCCATATGTAGCAATTCAAAAGCCTTTTCTGTTTGTATTGTGCTGTGTTGGAAAGGCAATCTGTGGTGTTTTGATTTGAAACAAATATGACACTGCTGGATCAGAGTTTCACCTTCTTTGTCACAGATCTTCCTTAGGAAAGGAAAATGTTTCATAGTGGAAATGGAAGGAT